CCATCCCAAGAATGAGGGCCTAAGCTCAACTTCTAGCATCCCCACAAAAAGCTAGGCATGGTGGCACATGTTTAGAACGCTGGCCCTGGAGGGGAATTAAGGAGACCCTCGCTGGCCACTCAACCTAGCTCTATCAGCAAGCCCCGGATCCCCGTTGAGGACCTTGTCTCAAAAAACAGAGTGGATGTCTTCTGGGAAGCAATCCTGGAGCCTGGCTTCCGGCTTGCATGTACACGCACACACGTGCACCCCCACTTCTCACTGCCAGGATCTTGCTGCCCCCCAACCCCCATACTGCTCTAAGACTGCAGCTCCCACTGACCGCAGGAAAGCAACCGTTAACGTCAGTGGAGATGAGCAGTTAAAGAGTCAGCCAGATAAGGGAGCCTCTGCTATCTTCCGGCCCGGGCACTCCCACCACAAGAGAGATACAGGGCCACACAGCTGACAGAGGAGTCATCCCACGCGGGTGACAAAGGAGGGGAGCTGCTGGCAGCCACGCGGTGAATGCCGAACACTAGGAAGACATCGGGAAAGACACAAGTTGTCACCCCCTGACCTTCACACACACTCAAACACGTCTGCCCGTGCATGCAAAGAGATGTACACACGCACAAATAGGCAAAACCCTTGGGGTTGCAGTTTGTCCGGCCGTGTCTCATGAAGCTGTAGGCATCTGCCTTGCCCAGCCTGCCACTGTGGGGCCACCAGCTAGTCTCAGAGGTGTGCCCTGGGAAGAGGGGTTCAGCCCTGGAAAGGTCAAGAGAAAGTAGGGGCTTGAAATTAGGGACAGGAGGCATTCCAGGGGCTCTGGTGGCCACTTCAAGTCTGAGCCCTTCAATCCACCGCAAGCAGAGGGTTAGCGGCAACTAGATCATGTCTGTTTTCCTCGTGTCTGAAAAGGCAGGCCTTTGCATGAGGCGTTGGCAGGGTACTGCAGAGTTCTGGAGCAGAGGCCCACCTGGACACAGGACAATTCTGCATGGGAGGGAAGGGAATGGGAGAAAAGGATACAGGGGACTCCAGCCCTTCAGGAGACCAGGCAACAGCAGAGGGTACATGGTGCAGACAGGGTCTACGGGACTGGTGGGCTCAGATTCCACGAGAGTGGCCCAGCTCCTCTCCCCTGGCCCCCACAGTAGCGGCTCTGGACTCAGTCCATTAGCCTGAGATTTCATGGCTACACCGAGTCACCTCTAAAACTTTGTCCTCAAGCAAAACCTGCCTGCAGCCCCAGGGGACGCTCTAAAAGACAACGCCACTGCTCCCTCCACTCCTCCAGAAACAATGGGCAGACTGCCGACGGAGAGGAGAACCGGGGAAGCAAGTGTGGAAAATCCCCCAATTTTACAATGTCAACTGCTGAACGAGGGAACAGACGGTGGCTGTGCCCCCGCGTGTCTGCCTGCGGGACTGCACGCCCCGGGGATGGGGGGGGGGGGGGGTGGAGATTGATCTCCTGGTTCTCAGACTATAAAAACGCATGGTGGGTAGGGAATTTTGTTAGCTTGCTACAGACGAAATCCTAATGTTTTCTCCAACAAAAGTGTGGTACCCTGTTTTCGTTGGGTCATCACATCCTCCCACTAGCCGTGTCCTTTTCTTTTCCCTCCGATTTAGCTCAAGCTCTGAAGGATGATTTCTGAGGACAAAGGTAGAGACAGACACTGAGGCTGGGAACTGCCTCCTACAAATGCTGAGAGGCTTCTCCTCTCAGCCTGCGCTCCTAGGGCTACAGGGGCGAGGGCTGGCTACCAGGGAGAGAAAGGAAACAGCAAATAGAACCTTCACGAAGTACCAGGTGACAGCTGGGCCGCATTGATCTCACTGGCCGGCCACAGCAAACCCTCAGTGACCTCTCTGCCAGCCCCCACCCCCAGCCGCTGGGAAAGAGCCTGGTGAAGTTTGGCTAGTCGGGCTGCGAAGGCCTCACCCCTTGACATAAGGCTGGGGACTTGATTCCTGGGTAGTTCCCAGTCCCCGATGGAGTATCCGTCTGCACCTGCTGGGCTAAAATAGGAAGAGTGAGTAAAACCTTCCTGGGACAGGTGAAGGAGAGAGGGGTCTTCCTGGCTAAGGAGGGGGCCCTTTACCAGAGATGAGATGTCATCCACACTTGGCCCAGGGTGCTATGGCTACAACTGCAGTTTGTCATAGGGCCAGCCTCCGACTGAGCACCTATAGCACTCTCCGGCCTCCACGGGGCTTTGGTCCTCCCTGTGGGACAGTCAAGCCTAGGCTGCTTTCTCCTGAACACTCTGGGGCGGCTTGGCAATAAAGACAGCAGCAGTGACCCTCTGCGTTTTTCCTCTGGCCTGGAGAGCAGAAGGGAGCACAGGCCGGGCAAGGGCAGAGTTCTGGAAGGGCCTTCAGGTAGCCAGGGAACAGAATGGAGAGGGTTTGTCTGGCTGTGGAGATCTCCCACGCCCCACCCTGACTTCAGTTTCCTCTTCTGTAGAATGGTCACTCTAGCCTGCGCTTGCAAGGCTTGCTGGTGGGCTTGGGAATGGTGTATGAGGTATGAGCAGCCCTGTTTAGGATTTGCCTCTTGGTAGAGCCTTCAGCATCTGAGTAAAAACACCCGGTGGCTTAGCTTGCGGCACGGCCCTGAAAGTCTGGCCTGCTGTCAAGCAAGCCCCGTGCAGGGATACTGCCCTGGCCAAGGACTAAAAGGCAGCTCCCCCAGCACACTGCTGGCTCGCCATACCTAACCAGAGTTTATCATTACCGAACAGGCTGGCCTTGGGTTCCTCTGGGCCCAGGACAGGGCCAACACACAAGTTCAGCTTATAAGATGGCCAGGGGCAAAGGGCCCTGGATCTCACCAAGGACGCTCCTTCCCCTGCTTCTAGGTCACCATGTACTTTGTTCAAGGCCAGGCATTCATGACTACAGTGGTGACTTCTTCAGTCTGTCTGCAAAACATGTTCGGTGCCTGGGTGTGTGTGTGTATGTGTGTGGACAGCAGAGGACAATGGGCACCCTGGATATTGACCTTGAGAGGTGCCCACTGTGGTTCCTGAGACAGTATCTCACTTTGACCAAATAGGCTAGCCTGGCTGGCTTGCAAGCCCCAGGGGTCTGCCCGCCTCTCCCTCCTCAGTCCTGAGACAGCAAACACACTCACTTACACCTGGGTCCTGGGTCCTGAACCCAGGTGCCCATTGGTGGATGGCAAGCCCTTTACCAGCTGGACCATCAGCCCAGTTTCTTCATGCTCCTGATGAATGTTAGTAGGTTTATAGTCTCTCCTGTTCTCTCAATTTGTTTCTGGGAAGGAGTTCTGGTTTGATCTTATTTTCAACGGTTTTGTTTTGATTTTGTGGAGTTTGTTGTTGTTGCTGTTGTTTTGGGGTTTTTTTTGGGGGGTGGAGTTGGACATACAATAAATGCTCTGGCCCCCTGGTGCGACCCCCCTTCTCCTCCTTTGATTCACCCCTTGGCAGGACAGAACCAGGATATCACCCGGCAGTCCTCAAGGTGGGAACCTGAGCCTGGCAGCAGGAGGGCCTCTCAGAGGCCATGCCAGCCTGAATCCAAACCCCAGAGCCCGTCCCAGCTGTCCTAGGTTGAGGAATTCCGGATGGATCGGACGGTTTCACTTCCCACGCCCAGTTGCTCCCGCGCGCGGCCCAAGCATAGCTAGAGGCCCAGTCGAGAGTACGATGCTGGGCCGCTGGGCCTTCCGACGCCTTAGGCTCCATGGAGCTGCTCACTAGAGCTTCCACACTTGCAGGTTCGGGCCCAGGCCGCACTCCACTACAAGCAGAGCACCATTCAAGGCCTGCGGGTCCTGCCGCCAACCCCAAAAAGTCAAGGAAGTCAGAATTTTAAATGTGGTTGGATTTTGGTAACTAGTTTTTGGAGTATGACCAGGATCAAAACAGCGACCACTGGAGGAGAGGGGCAGCATGAAGCTGGTCTGCGGGCCTCTGCAGACATTCCGGCTTATCCACTGAGGGCTTTGGGTCACTGTCCCAAGGCCACCAGGGGAATGGTGAGGTCCACTTAAGACCCGGATCCATGCCCTCAGCCTCTCTTCTCCTTCCCCACCCTTGCTGCTAGCCCCAAACCGCAAGGCGGTCGCGACTCCCAGCGCTCTCGAACTTGGAACTTCAGATGCTTTAGTGTGAAGGTCAAAGCCTCCCTCCGCATTCCCGCGGGAGCGAGTACAGGTGAGGCAGAACTGTCACGACCAGAGATGGTGAAGAGACTCTGTCCCAAGGCCCGAAAAAAGCCCACCCACTCCTGGGCTCAGGAACCCAGTCGCCACCCACAGGTCCGCGAGCTGGAACCAATTTCCTTTCCGTAGTAGCGATCAGCGTTGACCCAGCGAGAGACGCGCGACCCGGCGCCCAGCGCTACCCGGTGCCCGGGTCTCCTGCAGCCCCTCCCCCGCAGGGCGCTCCAGAGGCGGAGCTGAGGATCTGAGCGGTCGGCGACGGCAAGAGGCGCCGCGAGGGCGGGCCGGGGGCGGGCCGGGGCGGGGCCGCGACGGACTGCGGAGACGCGGCGGCGCACGGGGCGGTGCAGAGCGTTCTCGGCGCCGGGCTTTGCGGGCGGGTGCGGGCGCGCGCGGCCGCGGGGCGCTGTG